ATAAGTATATATCACTGCCGTTTCCAAAAGCAATGAACACTAGAGGCAGTAAAACTCCAACCTTTTATTCCTTTTCACACAAATTTCCAGAGTTTCGATTAATAAAGCGTAATTTTCGCTCAATTACTTGAAGAATATTATGTTATGACTTCAAAACAATTTTAAAACGCTGGGAGATATGAAAACTGATACTTTTGAATGTTAGCATCACACATATCCAGCTTCATATCTATGGGTTTTCATAGACGATAGGTTTGTTCGGTAGCTCACGGAGTACGGAGACATACTTGAGAGGTGAGGAGCTCTGGTTCGAATCCCGTGAAACTACGGTTCGACAAAACAGTTGAAATCTGCATTTAAGGAAGTTAAAATGGCACGGTTGCATCAACAAATGCGTTTTTATATCAGTTTTGCATTTGTTAACACTATCGGGTTGGTTTAGGGTTGGGTTTGGTGCAGGGCATATTTCCAACACGATAGAGCATTAACTTTTAGCGACAGTCCCCGGATATTTGAATTCTGAACCGCCGCAATACATACCTGAAGCAATGTAATAAAAACACAGCAATACATACCTATATCAACATAATAAAACCGTGCCAGGGTTCACGTATTGAACCCGTGTTTTAGAGCCACTCAGTGGACATTTCTCTTTGAAACTGCGGCGAAACGTGCAGTAAGGTACGTAAAAACGGTGTTACAGTAAAGTACCCAGAGGTACGTATTTTTATGAGACCAGGTTGGATTCTTCACATCATCATCTTTCGGCAATGAAAACAAAACAAACTTGCTTTCACAGCGAAGAACACAGCGTCTTCGCAACATGATGTAAACACACTAACTAGTGGAAGAGTTTGTGGGCAGGCGGGGATTATGCAAACGTGTTACCTTGTGACGTATATAGGTAACAGGCAGAAGATTCAAAAATATGACGACTCGTTAAGGCGGTTCAGAGTCGACTCTTTCTTTTGAGAGACAATATTGTTATTTATCATGCATTTTTTTGATTAACAACTTTGCAGACTGTTTACATTGAAGGATAGCTACGTTGCAAACTGCAAAAGAGATATTTTTCTAAAGCCCATATGACCTGCTCTTTAATATAGCATTACTCATTTGTTCCTGTGTAGTTATTCATTATTTACTCAGTCTGGGTTGTGTTTTCTGTACAACAACGTAAGTCGCTGATTAACTCCTACCAAAGTATGATGCATCGTTGGAGAAACTAACCAGCTAGTCATGACTGTTTTCCGAAACGGTAGTAATATTGTCAATGAACCACATTGGTTAAAAAACATAGGAATGTCGTTAATGACGTCACATGAAGGTGGTGAAGTAATAAAACTTTGACTTAATTGATTCAAAATTTTGAGATGTTGCTGCAACAAAAATGGCACCTAATGACTACTTCACAATTTTTTGTTCCCTGACATTTTGCTTAATTTGAAGTTTGATTCGTAACAGGTTTCCTCTTGCATCATACTCCGGGGTTCCCTTACCCTAACCACAGGTCGAGAGCTGTAGCTCCAACCACACAAGTTTACGATGTTGTTTGCAAATGTCAGTCAGTCAGTTGAACCAGTCAGTCAGCAATCCAGTCATCAATGCTTTGCTTCTCATAACAGAAGAGCGTGGCTATAAGCATGCTGTAAAAATGGTGTATTTCGATTGCAACATAGCTAAGAATCAATTACTGGGTCCACACACAACCCTAATCTATACACCTCCTTTGATTCCTTTTGTTAGATTTAGACTAATACAAACCTCTCTAAGGTGTGTCACCACAATTTCAACAGCGTCACTCTTTGCATATCCCATTAGACCAACCATTGTGCCAGAAGACTATCTACATCGGTAAGCTATGTTGCAATAAATCATCCCACAACACAATGCCGTGACCTACTCATGACCCCTGACCAAGAGACCTTCCCTGTAACAAGAAGAGAAGACAATAAACAATTACCTGACCCCTCTGACATGAGAATGTTATCTCTACCCTCCAAAAGCAACCCTATCATCACAATGCAGAAAACTCCTACACAGCAGACTTCTATTCAAGGCTATTTGTTTACCTCATTAATTTATCACTTGTGTGTTACTGACAGTCTCCATTGAGACAAGTGTACACAGTGCTGAATGAGAATAAGCAATATCTCTCTTCCTGAATAAACTTTCAGAGGAAATTTACTAAGAGTGAATTGATAGCATTGTTTATTTGCACCCACTTGTCTGTGTTGTTTTAGCACCGGTCCGCTAAAGGAATGATTCAAATCAGATAAAAACACAAAATGCTGAACTTCAATTAACACAGCACAATTATCTTATATTATAGGTCAGTTTGAATGGTAGGTTGTGAACTGTAAGAAACAAATGGGAATTTTCTTAGAGTGTGAAGGATGCAGAAGACTACATGATCTGGGGTGCGTTTCCCAAAAGCAGCTATGGTCGCAAGTTCCGTCATTACCAATAGAGTTCAATGGAACTAACAACCATAGTTAACAAACCCCAGGAACACTCTGCTTGATCTGCACAGCATCACTTCACCATCACTGTCATCCTTCCGAATCAGCTCTTCAAAAAATGGTAAAAAAAAAAGTACCTTTAGGGGTACAAAGGCAGCAACTTCAAAGGATAACTTTTTACCTTGTCTACACCTAAAAGGTGCGGTAACACTTTAGTTTAGGGACCAATTCTCACTATTAACTAGTTGCTTATTAGCATGCATGTTACTAGCATATTTACTGTGTATTAGTACTTATAAAGCACATGTTAATGTCTTATTCTGCATGACCATATTTTAGTTTCCTTAAACCTACCCCATTATTACACTTAACAACTACCTTACTAACTATGAATAAGCAGCAAATTAGGTGTTTATTGAGGCAAAAGTCATTGTTAATAGCTAGTTAAAAGTAAGTATAAATTTTGCTGCAAAAAATGTTTTCTACTGGTATTTCTAAGCATTTAGAACCTGCTCAAACTAGATTTTGGATGTTTGTGAAGAAATACCCCACACAAAAGAAAAGAAATTGTTTAGTGGAGTCGCCTTCAACATGACAACAAATCTGACCTTACTTACTTTCTTAATACACCTTCCCGATTTATACTATGCATGACTCATAAGTGTGTTTTAGTCCAAAGTATCTTTTCCTCTTGAGATGATGCTACAAATCCCTCTCCTTTTTCAACCTCTCCACTCTAACCACCATCATTCTGGTATTACTATGAACAGGAGAAACTGTAATGCGCAACAATGTTGGCTCTAGAACATGAAGCCTTCTAAATAAAAGAGTCAAACACCAGTTGGTAGAGTCATCACATCACTGCTGCTGGTTCCAAGAGAAACACTTAAGTGTGTCCTCGTGAATGTAGGACTGCACCTGAACACTGGCTGGAGCAACCTGAAATATACTCTAATTATTGATATTTGAGCGAGAAGGTCTGCCCAAATCAAGACAAATATCTGTCACAAAAATTCAGTGTGATATCAATTTAATTTGAATCAACTGCTGTCAATGCATGTGTTCTGACCATCACAAACATTTAACCTTTTTTCCATCACAATGCTGACATGTCATGTGCCAGAGCTGCTGCTGTTACATAAAACTGTGACTTGGTGGCACTCACTCAAACTTTGTTTAATGCATCTACTTACATTTTCTAAATATCTACAATATAGACAGAATAATTTGTACCACCACAAATACATCCAGCAGTAATAGCTAACCTATGCTGGGTTTAATGATAGTGGACATTGATCTTGGCAGTAGGCTCCAGTGCAGATTGTCTAGCAATAAACATGATAGTCCTCATATACAGCAGGAAATCATATACAGCAGGTAATCATATCTGTCTTTAAAAATCATTACGCTCTTTATGGCTTTTGAAGCCAAGAGCCCTTCCTAATGGACTTAATTTTTCATATCAAAACAGTGACATTGCTACACTGGACGTTGGATACGTTGTAATTAGTGTTTACTAAGGCTATTTTATTGCTCATATTTACATGAACACTAATTTTCACCTGCTGGATGATTATATGGGCACTATTTACTGGCACTGCAGGATCAAAGCCGTGCCTAAAGACCAGAATATCAGTGGATGGGTTATTAGATTCAAAATGGGTTTAGAATCAGTAAAGAGTGTTCACATGAATCTATTAGATACATTCATAAGGCACCTTTCTATTATTTTAATTCATTAATTAGCCCTTGAGCTTAAAAAATATCAGGCTCTGTTTGAATACTACTTGTAATACTTGTTACATCTGTCGGTAACAAGGAACATGAATGTAAAACAATGCATGCGTTATCTATGTAGGATGGGCTGATCATTCTGGTTGTACATTGTTGCATTTTTTTACAACAACAAAAAAAGTCTGTTGTAATTTATTTATTTATTTTTTTTCCACACACACACACACACACACACATACGTGTGTGTGTGTGTGTGTGTGTGTGTTAATATAATCAAAGTGAAATGCTGTTGCCAGCCATCAACAATGTGTAAATCAATGTTTGTCACACAGTCCACACAAATTCTAATAAAAAGAGTATCTCTACATTGGTATTTGTTTGCCCTGTTCTGGCTATATCTCTATAAATTTCCACTTTTTAGAAATATATATAAATATATATATATATATATATAAATAATATATATTTTTATTTTTTTCTTCCTGCACATGCAACATCTGGGCATTTGATGAGCACTTTTACTTTTTGAAATTTTCAGTGTGTACACAATAATCACACTATTTATAATAAAAATGGCATAAAATAGTGCACTAGTATGCAAATTAGGATGCACCTAACAACACTGTTATTCCATATCCAAAACTTACACCTAAGGATCGTTTAAGAACACTCATCTTAACATTCATGAGTCCTGTATGGTTGTGACATGGTTAGAAAAGTGCTTGAATGATTAAAAAAAAAAATTTGAAAAAAATTGAAAAACAAGGTCCCGCTACAAAACTGTCTCAATGTTAGAGAGGGGTCTTACTGTGGGCTGTGTTCCAGTAGCAGCCTGAGCGAGGGTAAGTCCCCTTTAGCTGCAGCATAATGAACAGGCAAGGCCCCCGTATCCGTGGCAACAGTAGGATCCCCTTCCCCACTCTTCAGCAGCCAATCAATGATCTCATGATGGCTGAAGCGAGAAGCCAGGTGCAGGACAGTGGCCCCTGAGCTGTCCTTATGCTGTAAACAACACAGTACATCCAGTATCATACATTAACTCCCATTCAGCTGGAATACAGAAATATATTTCAATGGTAAATTTCTAAATTATTCAAAGGCAACAATCTGCAAGCTAAATGTTATACATGCTGCATGTTATAAAGTACTGACGAGGAACATGGGTGTATTTCAACAGATTTATTTATACCGTATGAGACAAAATATGAATCATTTTCGTCACATATGCTGACCCAGAGTCTCTGCTGGATCATATTTAACTGGCTAAAGTTTTTTGTAGTCATTCAAACTTGCAGTGCAGGTATGAAACACAATAATGTAACGTGAAGCCCTGCTGCAGACGTTGATGGCAGAGATAACTTCCACTACTGCATGTGCACCGAAGGAAAAAAGGACAACAGCAAGAGCTCCAGTTACTTTTTCATTGAGACAAACACATTTTTGAAACGATGAGGTGAGGTGTACCACTAGACCTAACGACTTTCTCAAACAAAACAAAATTCTAGTAAATCTGTAGATTTTTCTTTTTAGAGGTATTTCATAATAATACCAAACGACGTTCATAGACTCAAATGAGGACTAATGAAAAAGTAAAGAATTAAGTAAGTGTTTTTTATTATACGCTGACTATAGCTTGTAGTATCTTTGGCAGGATGGTAGTGATCTCACACAGCTCTGGCAGAGTGTGTACACGTATAGGTAATATTTACCTTTACACAATTTAGCAAAATCAGACAATATTAACTTCTTGTTATTGAATTGTTGTAAATAAATATCACATTTGCAACTGGTCAGTGTTCAAAAAATGCTGGGAAATCACTTCACGTAACCCTTCAAGAGTGATTACTTATAGGCTGTCAAACTAAATTAAATCCCCCACTGACTTTCAAAGCTGCTACATAGTAACGGCTTTCTACTCCGAGGACCTTGATAGAAATGTAGTGGAGAGAAAAGTACGATATTTGTTTTTCAAATGTAGTGAAGTTAAAGTCATAAGTTTCCAGAAAACATAATACTCAAGTAAAGTACAGATACTTAAAAAGTGTGTACAGTAATGAAGTAAATGTAATTTGTTACTGTCCACCTCTGGTGATCAACATTTACAATAACTTACAGTAAACTAGCTATCAACACAACATGACTGTCATGACTGCATCCAAAAGTGTTCAGGGCTAAATAAATGTACTTACAGAATCAGGCTGATATTATTTTCTGTGACCACCCTGAATAATTATGAAGAATCTTAATGAAATAAAGTTTTTTAAACTTCAAATTTCCTTAATTTGTCATTCATTGCCTTGATAATCCTGACTATATTTATTATGGAAATAATATACTTATAAGAATATTAAGTGTGAATGTTTTTGGACACCTAATTACATGTACGTGCAATGCAATTAAAAAGTATTATAGTTTAAATTTTATATTATATTAATTTTAAATGCAGTTAGTTGAAGTTGAGTCCTTTTTGACCCACTTGAGCAGGACATAAGTAAATCTTTATATGTAATTTCATATTCACTTCTATTGTCTTTGAAATATGGTTAAAGTGTTCTGCCGAACTATAACACACTGTAATAATGTAATTTCTATTAAAACTTTTGTGATTTATTTAAATATATAAATATATATATATATATATATATATATACACATATATATAGCCTATACATATTCCACAGAGCACCCACTGTACCCTACTTTACATGTAGTCTAATAATTGTCTGGAGATGTGTTGCTACTGTGTATTTACACGGACACTGTTACCCTTGAAAGACTTGGTAAAGATACTCACGGCCGCTCGACATCCTCCGTGCGTCACGAGCCACTGTAGGCAGCTCAGGTTGCCCGTGGCTGCGGCGTCATGCGCAGGACTTGCGCCGTTTCTCGCCAGGCTGCTCGCCGGTAACCCCGCTTCCTCAACCAAATACCGCAGACAGGTGAGCTTCCCCGCTCGCGCGGCGTGGTGTACGGGAGTCGCTCCCAGCACATCTTTCACATCGCTGTTGAGTACCTTCTCAGCTAACTGTACTTTTAGAGTTTGTACATCCCCTTGCCTTGCTGCGAGAAGCGTCCTCTCAACCACCATGATGATCGCAGCGCCTCCAAACAAATGACTATTAGCGCACCATTAAGCGTCAGCTCACAGAAGTCCACACTACAGAGCGCAGCCTCCGCGCAGCGAGTCACTTTCTTCTGTCCATCCCTCTTTGCTTGAATCACCACACCATAAGGGAACCGACCTACACCTAAGAAATATATTCAGATGATCTATTATTATTATTAATTATATGGCATTTTAGCAAAAAATGACCTCCATGCACCGCGTAGCTGTTAGCTAAGAAAACCAGCCAAGCATTTTGTTACGGTCTTACTAGTCGTCAACGTATCCATTGGTTATACTGATCTTGTCTGTGCTGTGCACTCAGTGCATTTCACCTGTTACGTTCCTTGATTCCTAAGTAAACACAACAAAACAATAACACCGCAACGCGTCCGCTTTAGATGAAGTAAATGGCCCGTTGTCAAACGGTTCGTTCAGAAGTCTTGAGGGACTGAACTTGTGAATAATGCATTAAGGGGAGGAGAACTGTAACGTGTTGGCCCCACTTAAATCGGCTCAGATGTTAACGGGACAGCGGCGCGTCATGACGGTGTTTAGCTGTACGAGTAGGGTTTTCTTGTCTGGTTTAATTGTTTTCTAAAACAAGGTTATTAATTTATGCATATATATGTATTGGTTTGTTTCTTTTATGCTTCTTTAAACATGATTATTGATTTGCAGAAGAAGGCCGGTTATAAAGTAGACTGGTTCATTTTATTCATACATAAAATTATGCAATAGAAAATGCTGATTGCGGACTCTAGCGTCTTACTAATTCTCTATAGTTCATCTGTATTCGATATTAATGTTTGTTTATTTTTGGAACAGGCAGGTATTGGTTTTGTTACCTCGAAGGCCTTACCCTATATTACCAATAGATGGCAGGCTCGCACAATATTTGTATATCACTGTATAGCTGTAGCCTCTTAGCAATGCGTCTGAACATTATTGTTTGTGAAATTTATTCCATCGGAAGTGTTGTGATGTTAATTGATTGTAAGTCATTAAAACAACTATTAAAAAACAGTAGTTTTTCATCGACGGCATTCTAGATCTTTGGGGGTAAGATGTCTCCCTGAGATTTGGAGCAGGCACATTTCAGATATCAAGTCAACATTTCAGTCAAATTATAATTATGACTAGCCGAATTACAATTGTAACTATCTGAAATATATTTTATGGATAGTCAAACCAAAGTTTTAAATGCTAAAACGGCTTGCGATAGGCGCGTGCCTGATTGATGTTGACCTCTCCTATTGGCGTCAGTCGCGTGCCTGGCGCGTGCCATCCTCATCTATTTAACTATACCGGGAAGCACGAGCCAGGCTTATTAATGGATAATCCCTCAGGGGCTGTGCGAGACAAGTCTCACAGCACAGCTCGAATACACACATCATAATCCCGTTACTTTTGTTAGATTTGTTGTTTAAATCATTAAAATGCTCGGTTTCTTTCTTTCTTTAGTTATTTATTTTATATGTTTTATTTTTTTTAAAAAAAGGATAATTTGCATTTATCTACAATCGGGTTTTATTAAATATATTTAAATTTCAGGTTCTAAATTTTATATTTAAAATGCATTCAGTCATACAAATGCTTTATAATTAATCTTTGTAAATTAACGGATTTATTCTTACTCAGAATTAAGTACAACATTTGTAAAGTTGAAATCGTTAGATTTAATAGATTTCTGCCTGATTTACCTTTATTTATTTTTCTGGTGTGACCTAATTTATTTAGTTCAGTGATTCAGTGATGTTAATATTTTTGTCTAGAGTAAAATCAATGAAATGTGATAATAAACATATGTTTATGTTTACATTTTCAGTCTATACTCGGTTAGATATTTTAGGCTACAGTCTCCAACTTGTCACAATTGATTTCGAGCGCATACCTATTTAAGATGTGGTGTTTTCTGCGACCCGGGTTTAGGCTTATTCACTTTCACTTAACATCATGTTGTCAACATCTTTTTGTGGCCTATCAAAGATCTAGGTCACGCCAACAGTTAAATGAGCTTGTCTCTTCTTCGTCTAAGAATATATTCAAATTCCTCACAAATTACTCGTGTGAAAGTATATGCTACCGAGTGTAATTCAGACAGATAATCTAACGGTCACTCCCTGAAAGGAAGAGAGCGTGGGAGCCTGGAAAAAGTGGCATATAAACTGCACGCGTCGAGCGTGTGACAGTTATTCAAATTTCCCTCCAATTAGGCCAACGAAACTCCATTGTAGTGGCCATCTGCTGCCAATCTCGCATGAGACTGTTCCAAGATATTCTCTAACCTCATCCACAAAGAGTGGGGAAATCAGACAGTGCACTCCTAAAGTATATTTTGGTAGTGCGAATGTTTTGCTCCATCTCATAATTCCTGCGCAGGTTGTTTATTTGCCGTTTCCTCACACATTGTGGTCTGGGCCCATCTGCCACCCCTGCGCGTGCCATTCATTAGCGCCGTTTCAGCCGCAAGATACGCGAATTCATAAAGAAGACTTTGTGTCTGTATTTATATGTATACATATGACCTTCTTTATTCATCTCTTTTATCATTGTTGGAATAGTAGTTGCACAGGTTTATATGTATACGGTTATAATACAGGTTATTATATGTATTTATATTATATGATAGATAGTTACCAATGAGCTATTTCAGCCTTGCCTGCCTCTCTCTCATAAATCATTGGTGTATTTTTCTTAAATTTCATTTAATTCTGCTTTTACCACATGATGTTATCTGGCTGACAAAACAGTTTACAGAGCACTGAGAACAAGAACAGACCACAGCTTTGTTGATGCAAAGACAAGATTAGGCTATTTAAGATTAATGTTACAGCAAAATATTGTATCTCAGGGAAACAAGGAAGCAGGTTTTTAGATCTAAATGAAATAAGACAACACAGAGGAATACAAAAGCACTTTATTTTGTGTGTGTTTATTTGATACGTTCTTAATGAAGACTCAGAAGCCAGGTGGTAAAGTACCTTTATTTCACATTCTCTCTTCACGCATGCTGGCCTCACACACACACACACATTAGGTTTCAATGTTTTATGGGGACATTCCATAGGCGTAATGGTTTTTATACTGAACAAACTGTATTTTCTATCCCCACCCTAACCCTACATCTAAACCTACACCTCACACAAAACTTTCTGCATTTTTTAATTTTCATACAACTTGATTCTGTATGATTTATAAGCTTGTTTCGTCATGGGGACCAAAAAATGTCCGCACAAGGACAATGATTTTAGATATTGGCATCTTTGTGGGGACATTTTGTCCCCATATATACCTGAACCACACACACACACACGATAGGTTTCCATGTTTTATGGGGACATTCCATAGGCGTAATGATTTTTATACTTTACAAACTGTATATTTTCTATTCTATCCCCTGATCCTAAATCTAAACCCAACACACACACGCGCGCGCGCACACACACACACACACACATAATTACTTACCTAAATGGGGATAATAAAAAAAGGTCAGTGGAAGTTCCTTGGTCAAGGAAAACACTGATTTCCTGTGACTGATTCTGGCAGATGACCGATAATTACTAAAAAAGTTTACTAGAGCAGCATTTTAATAACTTCTACCAGTCGAGCGGTGCTCTGCTCTTTACTCCCCTAAAACTACAGCGACACCAGTGCTGGAAACATCGCAGTGCACACGAGAGCGCTCTTGGGTGTAAAAGAGAGCAAGAATGTAAGATTGTCACTCACTCTGAATTTCATTTATTGCTGTCTGCAATCAAACAATCACACCACGAATTTGACGGTACAAACATCCAACATATTCAGTGTACTTTATTTAACTGTTCATATTTTTATGGGTACGTAGGTATTGTTTTAAATTATTGATTTAAATAAAAGCATACATAAATGGTTACATTGCAAAAAGTTACGCGTCACAACTGTATTAAATTTAGATATAATTTTTTGTTGTTGTCTTGCGAGCGACAAACAATGCACTTAAACACACAAATTACTCGAGAGTATAAAAGAGCACTGTCATACAGTAAATTCTTTAATAATACTACATTTGCTGTGTTGACGGTAATTCAGTTAAAATCCAAAGATTCAGTTAGAATACTTCTCTTCTGACTTCTATGATCCTGCATAAGTTACAGGTGGTCTCTTCAAAACACCGAAAGACCAGTTTTACACAGAGTTTATAACTCTTACATCTTAATCTTCTAAACAGTTTTACATGCTGATAGGAGAAGAATTTTAAGTTGTTGGTATCACATTGAAACTAGATACATTCTCATTACAACAATAACATAATTAATTTTTTAAAAATGTAGAATTTATTCTAAAGTCACTGTACGTTATGATATTTAACACTGTAATAATCATATATTATAATATCGTATAACCCGGATAACATCACTATGTTTATCATGATAACATTTCATTGTAAACACAGTTACACAGGGCAACAACGGTTTTGTTTATATGAATCAACATAAAAGGAGATTATAATTAGATTGATTACGATTTGACATTATAATGATCATTGATATCGGCCCATAAGGTTATATTAAAGTTCATGGCATTATATACATTATACATTATATAGAAACAGAGTGTACAGTAGCCTAATCATTGTAGTATTTACAGGACATTGTGGCTTCTAAGCTATGCCAGTCAAATTAAATACTTTTTACTAAAATCAGTTCATTTAGATGATACGCGTGAACCACATTTTAGATTATCTGACGAAGTATTTTCAAACGATAGCCTAATAATCTCGAAGCGGGTGAATCTGAAAACTGAAACTGTTTAAATACTGCAGTAGTGTGTTAGCAAGTCTTCTCTCTTATCAACATAACTGTCATTGCATTAAGAAAAAAAAACGCTTACCCATGCTGTAACTTACCTGCTGTCAAATACGACCACATTATACAGGTTGTGCCTCTGGATGAAATCGCGCTGTTAAAGCTCAGTCGTGCGCTTGCATTGAGCGCCCCTTTACTCAGAAGTCCTGCTCTCAAATGAAGAGCAATAATTCATTATAATTGCACAGTCACCTGGCCTTTTGTCCCCATGGTTCGTGCCGTTCTCGTGCCTAGCGCGAGCGGGGACCCTAAGGCCCCCATGCGCACATTTACAAAAAAGCGCCTTTTTGTTGTTTGTATTTTCTTTTGGGGCTGAGGAAGCTGCTAAAAATCATACATCATATTAAAAAAAAAACACGCTTGGAACATGCACTCCTCACTTCTACCGTTCATCTAATAGACTGTATGTGCGGATGCAGTTCTCGCTCACAAAATTAAAACAGGGAAGCTTTTCACGTACTGCTACGTCACAGATACTATAGGCTAATCACCTATTATATATTTCTATAATGGGAAAAAACAAGTCTTTGTGTGAGAAGTTACATCACCAGATGTACATGGCTTGGCTTTTAGCTTGGGTAGGCTATTTGAAT